CTGATCCTGGCGCATCTGCTGAGCCCAGAAGAAGCACCAATCAGCTTGAATGTTGCGGCATCTTCAGGGTCTTGTGATTTACATTCAGATGCTTGGCAACTGATTCATATTTATGACGTCACAGTGTCCCACGGTCATTTCAAGTGACCAAAACCTGCTGCAACCACCCAGTAAGATGGGGGGGATAAAAACCAAACACCCCCACCCCACCCCCGCTGCCAATCCTCAAGAGAAATGCTCACAACAATGGAAACCTCGGACAGGAGGAAGAGCGCGGGCGGGCAGGCAGGTGTCTTGCTCAGCTGTGCCTTGGGGGGCACTTTTTTCAGTGCCATTGTAACTTCGAACAGTCACTAAGCAAACTGTTGTAAGTCGAGGACTACCTGTACTTTATCACTTCTTTTCCTTTTTTTTTTTTTTGTCATCAAGTTTTTGACACCTTGCTAGGCGACTGGTGGTACCCGGATGTTGCCATATCCTAAAAGTGGTACATTGGGTGAAAAGGTTGAAAAGCCCTGGACTAGAAGACCTCCAAGGTTCCTTGCAATTGGGTTAATCTGTTTTAGTCCTTCAGTTTACTGGTAATATGAATTACCTGAGCCAGCCATGTTGAGGGGAAAGGGGGAGGTTTCCAAGCTGAGCCATGCTGGCTCAGGAATTCTGGGAGTTGAAGTCCACGAGTCATAAAAGAGCCAAGGTTGCCTACCCCTACCCAAAACCATTGCCTGGGAGACAGCAATGGAAAAATTCAAACAAATAATTCAAATTGTCCATAGGTTCTTTTTGTGACCTACAGTAACTCCCCATAAAGGATTAAACAGTACTGAAAGAGATGGCACTTTCTTTGATAAATGCAAGTTCGTGCTTTGGAAAATATTTAGGATGCTTTCTTTGACTAAAGTTTTGTGATTCTTTTGCCCATTCAATTTCCCTTAAATTTTTCCATTACAATGAAATGAAAGTAGAGTGGGTGTTCTCTGAGGCCCCTACACCTACAGCACCTTCCTTAGAGCAAGATGCCCTTCCTCAGACCAAATCGTGGGACCCCCAGAACCCCATTGCTACAGCAACAAATACTAAACAAAGTTATTGAAAAGGCTGGCTTACAAGTGCGCAGCAATTGCTGAGGAGAACAATCAATGGCCCAGCAGATGGCAGATAAGGGAACAAAATTTCCCATCTAAAATTCCCATCTACACTTGAGGGCAGGACAAGATGTAATGGGTGGAAAACCATTAAAGAGCGATCCAACCTAGAACTAAAGAGAAATTTCCTGAGAACAATTAATCAGTGGAATGGCTTGCCTCCAGAAGTTGTGGGTGTTCCATCACTGGAGGTTGTCAAGAAGAGGTGTTATATCTCTCCAAATTAGCCTGAACCCAGTGGTGCATCATGACTCTTGACAGGCTTACCTAGGATGTTGTCCCTTTCTTAAAATATGGCTGATATTTTAACTTTGTGCCATCAAATATGGTGATCAAAACAAAGCTAAGGGCAAGGTTTTGTAGTGACATCTCCAGAGACCAAACAGTGTGTTGTAATTTGCAAGCTAGAGGTGGGCGAGATCTGACTCCAAGGAATCAGTTGGAAAACAAATCTATATTTCCCTTGCTTACCTGCCAAAAGTCCTGCTTCTTTGGGATGTTTCCCCCGTAACCTTCATCATGACTTACCGGTACTTCTAGTCTCAGAACTGGACTGTGGGAAAATATTTTAATGGTGCTGAATTGAAAGCTGTGGGTAAGCTTGGTAGAGTTTGACTCCATGCTCCATGGCTTCAATTCAATTTTACAAGTTAATTCCCTAATCCCCCATTTGTAACCAAACTGGTTAGCCTATGTTAATAAGTATATAGGGGAGTCCATAAGGGGTCAAAAAAGTCAAGCTGGTGACTACAATCACATGTGAGAAGCACTCCTTTTTTTTTTTACAATACATACATGACACCTGTGTGATTGTGGCATACAGAATACAGAATAACAGAAGCCTTCTAGTCCAACCCTGCTCAAGCAGGAGAACTTATAAAATTCTGGACAAGTGGCTGTCCACTCTCTTCTTAAAAATCTCCAGTGATGGAGCAACCACAGCTTCTGATGGCAAGCTGTTCCACTGGTTAATTGTCCTCATTGTTAGGAAATCTCTCCTTAATTCTAGGTTGCTTCTCTCTTTGATAAGCTTCCATCCATAATTCTTATCCTGCCCTAAGGTGCTTTTTTGACCCTCCCTGCAGATTTCCATATAAGGATGCGTATTTATTTGTTCGCCTTGGCATTATCAGTCTGGGAACTTCAGAAGTGTTGGACATTGTAATGTCCAACTTCATGGTAGCACAGGGCGATGGAAATTATATAAAAATCATATCCGAAGAAAGGATGGTTTTGAAAGTTCTCTAAAATATCCTGAGTTTATCTGCAAATATTTCTGTCTGATCAAGGCCTCTCACTCTGTGACAACCTAGCATTATCTTCCTTTCTCATAGCCGTAAAAGCCTACTATTTTAAAACACACTCCACTCTCTTTTCTCTCATCCATCCATCCACACGCACGTTCAGATACACACAATATGCCATTGTCCCATGGCAGATCTTACTGTGATGTCATTTAAGATTTTTTTTTCTCCTGCTTTGAAATGGTTGTGCTTTAAGGGAAAGGACTGTGAGGAGGAACAAAAGATAAAAAGAAGAATCTGTGAGAAAATGACATGCATTACTTTTAAATTGCATTAAAAGGCTTGCTTTTATTCCCAGAACGATTGCCCATCGCCATGGTGTGGAGCAAAGTCATATCTGTTACCAATGAATCATAAGAAATATTTGTAAGCAAACTTGAGCTAGGAAAACTGGAGCCCAGTAAGGCATTAGTTCTCATCAGCAATCTTCAGAGGGCAGGATACAGTTGACTTAGCTCAAGGATGCACAGCCTGTCAGCCACATCGCCCAATTTCAATCTTGCTTTTCTGAGTGCAAAAACAGGTGCCAAACAAAACATACCTATGATATCTATGCTTCAGTCCCATACATGCCTGTCATTCTACTCCCCTTTGGGAATAAGCATTGCCCAGAGCAAAGAAAAGGAATAAGAAATAATAAACTGAAGAAATTAAGGCATGTAGTTAAAAAAAGAAAGGGATGTATACAGGTAGTCCTCAACTTAAAACAGTTCTTTTAATGACTGTTCAAAGTTGCAATGGCACTGAGGAAAAAATAACGGAATTGGACAAGACCTAGGAGATCTTCTAGTCCAGGGGTAGGCAACCTTGGCTCTTTTATGACTCGTGGACTTCAACTCCCAGAATTCCTGAGCCAGCATGGCTCAGCTTGGAAACCTCTCCCTTTCCCCTCAGCATGGCTGGCTCAGGAATTCTGGGAGTTGAAGTCCACGAGTCATAAAAGAGCCAAGGTTGCCTACCCCTGTTCTAGTCCAACCCGGTGCTCAAGCAGAAAAAAATGTCCATTTTTCACTTACAATCAATGCAGTATCCCCATGGTCATGATCAAAATTTGGATGCTTGGCAACTGATTCATGTTTATGGCATTTTCAGGATCATCTGATCCTTTTGTGACCTTCTGATAAGCAATGTCAATAGGGAAGCCAGATTTACTTAATAACCATATTACTAACTTAACAACTGTGGCAAGAGCAGTTGTAAAATGGGGCAAAATTCACTTAACAAATGTCTTGCTTAGCAACAGAAATTTTGGGCTCTATTGTGGTCATAAGCCGAGGACTACCTGTACGGTTCTTGGGGCCCCTAACTGGCTCCTGTAACCAGTGCTTTTTTTCTTTAAAAAAAGGTGCTGGAACTCACACACGTCATACAACCCACCTTGCCTACCCTACAAGGTTCCATCCAAAAAAGGTGCCGGAACTCCATTCTGGGCGTTCTATGACAAAAAAAGCCCTGCCCATAACACTCTTGTTGCATGAGCTACATTGGTTTCTGGTTTGCTTTTGGGTCCAATTCAAGGTGTTGGTTCTTATCTTTAAAGTCCTTCATGGCATGGTTCCATGGTATTTGAGGAACCGTCTCACCCCAATGGGATTGGCCCGCCCCACCTGTGTTGGCAGAAGAGGCATGCTGTGGACCCCATCAGCCAAGGAATGTTGGCTGGTAGAGTCCAAGAGAAGAGTCTTTTCTTTCCCCCATCTTTAGGAACATTTGTGCCTCCCAAGGTGAGATCTGCGCCCATATTTTGGTCTTCTGCAAGGGCCTGAAGACTTGGCTGTGCCAACTGGCATGGGGCCCCAATAGGAACGTGCCATTCTGGAGACTAATGGACTAAGATAAGGCCCCATCTCCTTCCCCCCCCCATGCAACTTCCTGTCTTCTTCCCCATCCCAAAAGATGTTCCATCTTTTTAGTGTTACTGTTTATTGTTTTAATCTTTTAATTTCACATTGTTTTTATTTATTGTAAGCTGCCTATATTCGCCTCTAAGAGAGATGGGTGGCATAATGGTTTAATAAATAAATAAAGCTAAATCTGGTTTACACTGACCTACCTCACGACAAGTAGGCCTCGACTTACAACAGATTGTTTAGTGACCGTTCAAAATTACAATGGCACTGAAAGAAGTGACTTATGAACGTTTTTCACACTCACAACCATTGCAGCATCCCCATGGTCATATGATCAAAACTCAGATGCTTGGAAACTGACTCGTATTTATGACGGTTGCAGTGTCCCAGAGTCACGTGATCACCTTTTGCGACTTTCTGACAAGCAAAATCAATAGGAAAGCCAGATTCACTTTACGACTGTGTCACTAATTTAACAACTGCACTGATTCATTTAACAACTGTGGCAAGAAAGGATGTAAAATGGGGCAAAACTCACTTAACAAATTTCTCACCTAACAACAGAAATGTTGGGCTCACTTTTGGTTGTATGTCAAGGACCAGCTCTATTGCAAACCAATAGAGTGTAGCTGTCAGAGGGATTCCTATACTAATTTTCACTATTAAAATGATTGTTCTGGCTTTTTGTCTTTTTTTTTTAGTTTGTGTCCATATTCTCCCATGCTGTTCAGTGGATGTCACAAAATTCCCTGGCAACATTTGGTGGCGGCTGAGGAAAACCTGCTATCAAATTGTTGAACACAGTTGGTTTGAGACATTCATCATTTTCATGATTCTTCTCAGCAGTGGAGCTTTGGTAAATATAAAACCTATAATTTCCACCTCTTTTTTTTTTTTTTAAATAGATGTGATTTGTGTTATCACCTCAGTATGTGGTTCCTTTTGAATATGACGGAAAACACCATCTATTGCTGGTTTGGAAGAAAGATTCAAGGTTCATAATTGTCTTTTGTTAACATAAAGGAATGAACACTTCATTTTAGGAAATCCTTGATTTGATGATAATTAGAGGCCCTGAATTCTGTACCTTAGTTGGAGAATTCTAGGCATCTCAGTTTAGATCAGAGGTGTTCAACCTTGGCAACTTTAAGACTTGTGGACTTCAACTCCCAGAATGCCTGGCTAGGGAATTCTGGCAGTTGAAGTCCACAAGTCTTAAAGTTGCTAAGGATGGACACCCATGGTTTAGATGATCAGGTATATGTAGGTAAGTAGGATCTCTGGCTAAGACAACAGAAAACAGTTGTTGATCAAAGAACAATATGCAACACTGGTGCTGGAAACTGATCTACTGTTTGAGCAAGGAGTTGGACTAGATAGAAGACCTCCAAGGTCCCTTCCAACTGTAGAAAGAGTGCAGATAAGAGCAACAAAGATGATTAGGGGACTGAAGGATAAAACATGAAAAGCCATTATAGGTGGGGGGTGGGTTTTCATATAGTATTGTGTAATATTTGTGATGTTTTTTTTTATGATGAAAATAATAAAAATTTTATATTGAAAAAAAAAAGAAAAACCATTATAGGAATTGGGTTTGTCTAGTTCAGTGATGGCGAACCTTTTAGAGAGGAGTGCCCAAAAACTGCCTCGTCGCTGCCCCACCCCACCTCTCCTGCCCACAAGGCCACCCACCACCTCCACAGCCCACCACAGCAGATCGCCATGGCGGCCCAGTAGTGTCATGGCAGTCATGCCCTTTGACCGCGCCCTGCAGCATCATCTGTATGCGATGGCGCACGAAGGTGGAGTCTTGCCCTCGCTGTCCGGCTGTCATGTCCTTGGCTGTGCTACTCCGCACAGGCTGCACCCGGGGCGACTCTCCTCCGGGGGGGCTGCTGGTAAGGAGGGAGCCGTGGGGGGTGGCGGGGCTGGGGCGACAGCATGCGTGCCCACAGAAAGGGCTCTGAGTGCCGCCTCTGGCACCCGTGCCATAGGTTCGCCACCACTGGTCTAGTTTAATAAAAAGAAGGACTAGGGGTGACATGGTAACAGTGTTCCAATATCTCAGGGGCTGCCTGAAAGAAGAGGGGATCAACCTATTCTTCAAAGCACATGAGGGCAGGACAAGAAGCAATGGATGGAAAGTAATCAAGGAGAGAAGCAAACTAGAACTAAGGAGAAATTTCCTGACAGTGAGAACAATTAATCGGGCTTGCCTCCAGAAGCTGTGGGTGTTGCAACACTGGTAGTTTTTAAGAAGAGATTGGACAACCATTTATCTGAAGTGATATAGGTTTTCCTGTTTGAGCAGGGGGTTGGACTAGATCAGGGCTTTTCAACCAGTGATACGGGTACCACCTGTGGTACATTGGCACCTGGCAGGTGGTACGTGACCATCCTAGTACAGTGGTAGCGGGGGAGGGGAATGAGCTGAACCGGTGGCAGCACCGCACAAGCCTGAGCGAGAGATGGCTCGAGCTGCAGGGCTGTCAGGGCTCAGCGGAAGCACCAGGATCAGTGCCACTTTCCAGCTGATTGGCGCTTCTTCGGGACTGTCAGGGCTCAGTGGAAGCGCCAGGATCAGCGCCAGGATCCAGCTGGAGCTCAGTGCTGATCCTGGCACTTCTGCTGAGCCCAGAAAAAGCGCCAATCAGCTGGAATGTTGCAGCATCTCCAGAGTCTTGTGATTTACATTCAGATACTTGGCAACTGATTCATATTTATGACGGTCACAGTGTCCCAGGGTCATGTGAAGTGACCAAAACCTGCTGCAACCCCCCAGCAGACCGAGGAAATTAAAACCAAACACCCCCCTCGGACAGGAGAAAGAGCGCCGCCGGGTGGGCAGGCAGGCGTCTTGCTCGGCTGTGGCTTGGGGGACACTTTTTTCAGTGCCATTGTAACTTCGAACAGTCACTAAGCGAACTGTTGTAAGTTGAGGACTACCTGTACTTTATCACTTTTTTCCTTTTTTTTTTTTTTTGGTCATCAAGTTTTTGACACCTTGCTAGGCGACTGGTGGTACCTGGATGTTGCCATATCCTAAAAGTGGTACATTGGGTGAAAAGGTTGAAAAGCCCTGGACTAGAAGACCTCCAAGGTTCCTTGCAATTGGGTTAATCTGTTATTCTTTTCAAAAAAAATATCTGCAATGGGAAATGCTTCAATATGCCATCTTGTTCTCCCAGGCCTTTGAAGACATCTACTTGGATGAAAGGAAGAACATCAAAACTATGCTGGAATATGCAGATAAAATCTTCACCTACATCTTTGTTTTGGAAATGCTTCTCAAATGGGTGGCCTATGGCTTTAAGAAGTACTTCACCAATGCTTGGTGCTGGCTTGATTTCCTCATTGTGGATGTAAGTATTGCGTTACTTCTCCAGGTGGCATTGTACAGCAATGTGGTTGTGGGCAAAGATCACTAGCTGAATGGGACTTAATCTTCCTGAGGGTGATGTAAAATGAACCCATGACACTAGGTGTTTACAAATTCCGTGTCAGGTAACACCTTAGGGAATTTGCCATTTCACTATTTAATTCCAAATATCTGGATGCAAATATAGGTCTGAATGATCTCATGGTTCACTAATTAGGAATGAGAAAACACGATGGTTTTCAATTGCAATTCTTTCCTTAAGTGGTTCCGAAAAAAAATGTAAATTCATTTCCTCTCTAGTGCCTTTTTGTTTTGTTTTTTTTCCTCTTTAGTAAGATTTATCAAGAAGAAAGGGATAGGGTTACAAGAATTCCAGTAATTGAACTGAACTTTGGGAGATGAAAGTACCACAGATATGGAGACTTTCAAGAGTCTTTCTTCACAGTCTTTCTGTCAGGCAGGTCTTTTCACCACTAAGAAGGAAGCTTATAACTGGGCATAATTAGATTTGTAGGAAACCAAATTTTGTACTATATTGGCAAAACAAAATGGCCATAACTGTAGTCATTGTAATTGTATCCCCTAATTAGAAAGGGCTTAATTCCCCAATAACATACCGTAGTCCCTCATTTCTATCTCCACAGTCTCTTCTCAGAGTACAGATAGTCCTCAACTTACAGCCATAACGGGGACCAAAATTTCTCTTGCTAAACAAAATGTTTATTAAGTGACTCGTGCCCAATTTTACAACCCTCTTTTGCCATGGTTATTAAGTGAATCGCTGCAGTTGTTAAGTGAATCATGTGATTGTTAAGCAGATACAGCTTCCCCCACTGACTTTGCTTGTCAGAAGCCAGATGGGAAGGTCAGAGAATGCTACCAACTGCGATTACATTTGGATTTTGATCATAGGGCCATGGGGATACTCAAAGGGTCGTAAGTACGAGGACCGATCATAAGTCCCTTTTTTCAAGTTCCGTTGTAACTTCAAATCAATGGTTGTAAGTCAAGGACTATCAGTACCTGATTTCCAAGACAAATCTTTCTAAAACCATTTCCTGCAAAGCAGCCTAGAGCAGTGATGGCAAACCTTTTGGAGACCGAGTGCCCAAAAACTGGCCATGCCCCCGCTCCACCCCCTGCCCCCCCACCTACCCGCAGGGCTACTCACTGAGTAGAGGCCCCCACGCCCTCTGCCCGCGCCCCACAGCATCAACTGTGCGTGATGGGGCGTGAGGGCAGAGTCTTGTCTACGCTGCCTGGCTGCCATGTCCTTGGCTGCGCTGCTCCACATGGGCCACGCTCGGGGGTGGCTCTCCTCCAGGGGGGCTGCTGGTGAGGAGGGGGTCGCGGGGGGAGGCAAGGCTGGGGCAACAGCATGTGTGCCCACAGAGGGGGCTCCGAGTGCCGTCTCTGGCACCCGTGCCATAGGTTCGCCACCACTGGCCTAGAGTATCTTCCAGAGTGCCAAAATAGCAGAAATGAAAATAAGCTTAATCATTTATCAGTGATGGCTGGTTGGTGCTATAAAGACACTGGAAGTCCCGAGTTGGGAAATGACCTTTGATGACCTTTGCAACAAATTCAGGCCTCAAGAAATGCTGAATTCCTCTTTCTGAAAGTTCTGCTCAAGCTTTAAGAATTTAGCTCGTCAGAAGATTTCCATTAAGAAAGGGATTAAGAGTGGCATAAAGGGTGGTCCTAAAAGAAGGTCAATGTTCAGATTTAAGATTACAAACTTAGACACTTGTCAGGAAATAGCTTCATCCTTACTATACTTCTAACACATTGGAAGCTTCTCAGGTTGGCTGGGAACAAAACAGATTCCTTAGCAGTAGAAGAAAGTTTCAGATTGGTCAGTTTTTGTTGAAGACAGAAAAAGAATAAGAAGCTTGATTTTTTTAAATGTTATTTACTTACTTACTTACTCACTTATCTATCTATCTATCTATCTATCTATCTATCTATCTATCTATCTATCTATCTATCTATCTATCTATCTATCTATCTATCTATCTATCCATCTATCTATGTAATGTCTGTCTCTATCCATCCATCTGTCTGTCTGTCTATTTGTCTGTCTGTCTGTCTGTCTGTCTGTCTGTCTGTCTCTATCTATCTATCTATCTATCTATCTATCTATCTATCTATCTATCTATCTATCTATCTATCTATCTCTATCATATGTCTGTCTATCTATCTATCATATGTCTGTCTATCTATCTATCTCTGTCATATCTCTATCTATCTATCTATCTATCTATCATGTCTGTGTCTCTATCTATCTATCTATCTATCTATCATATGTCTATTTATCTATCTATCTATCATATGTCTATCTATCTATCTAGCTATCTAGCTATCATATGTCTGTATCTATCTATCTATCTATCTATCTATCTATCTATCTATCTATCTATCTATCTATCTACTCATCTTCCTCATAGAGGGACTTTAGCAAGTAACTTTAGATAACTTTTCAAGTTTCATGGCCATTATACAGGTAGTCCTCAACTTGTGACTGTAATTGAGCTTGCAATTAGGGTCATAAGTTGTGACAGTTGTTAAGCATTAAGTGACTATGCTAGATTATTATGACCTTTTTCGTGTCAGTCATTAAGCGAATGCAGCAGTCATTAAGTGAATGTTTCACTATAGGCCTTTCATTTGCAGAAAATCAGAAGTAAACGGCAGTTTCTGGCAAAAATATTGTAAATCATGGTCATATGATCACAGAGAGGGGTTGGTGGCCATTGGAACATTGCACCCAGGTCATAAGTGCCTTTCTGTCATAACTTTGAATGGTTGCTAAGTGGCTGTAAGTCGAGAACTACCTGTACTGGCTGCTTACATGCCTAAAAATACTTTAGGAGAAAATTCACTTGCAGGGAGCTGCTTTAACATAGATGTATTTGTTTAATTGATTACAACTATTGCTTTGTCACTTTAGTTGGGCTTTCAACTTTTTGATTGATTACAACTATTTTTGATTGATTACAACTATTTGATTGATTACAACTATTTCTTTGTCACTTTAGTTGGGCCTTCAAAGTAATAATGAAATGGATAAGGTATAGCAAAATGTAAATAAATTTCAATAAACCATAATTAAACCATCCATTAACTATAAATATCATAAAGCCACAGTAAATATTTCCATACATGTGCAAGTGTCTACTTAACTACATCTCTAGATCCCTGGCACATGTTCGAACAGCTAGATTTTCAACTTTCAGCTTTCTGAATGTTACTGATGAAAACTCTGCTCTTATTTTTGAGGACAGTTGGCTTCCAGAGTAGGGAATTACCTCAGAGAATTCTGTCTTCCAAAGTAAATCTCCATATCTCTGGGGATTTTTTGCAAGTGTGCAAGTTTTTAATCACCGCTATTTTTGCCTGTATCTTTATAACTACTGCCTTCCATCCTGGCTTCTATATCTTTCTTTTCCTCAAATTCAGAAAGAAAGGAAAAAAGAAAGAAAAGAAAGAAAGAAAAATTAGTTTATTTTATTTATTTATTTATTTATTTTATTTAACTTTAACTTATATGCCGCCCTTCTCCCCCATGGGACTCAGGGCGGCTCACAGCATATTAAAAACAATACAAAACATTTCCCTATAAAAGCCAATTAAAAACCAAATATTTGTAGCTGTGTCTTGTTTAAAATCATTAAAATTGTCCCTATTTAAAAATTCACCCTAGGTCAGTCCCG